GGCCATTTTTTGGTTGCAGCCATCATTGTTGTTTGGCGGGCCCGGGCTGGGGATTCGAACCCGCCACCTTAGGTGCATGTGGCTGGTGCCTTAGCCACTTGAGCCACAGGCGCCGAGCCTATATTTGGATTTTTGAAATGTCTCATAAAGTACAAGCACCTGAGAAAAATAAACATACAGAATAACCCACCATTACAACCACCAACCATTTAGAGGTAGAGATTATGATGATCTTCTGCAGTTCTCTGTTCCTACTCAAATAGAAAAAAAAAAAAAGAACTTTTAAGGTAGCACTGGTTATCAGGTTTGGAAACAGAGAAAATGCAACTTGGAAAACAGGAGAATCAGCCCAGGGACACAGAGCAAGCCTGTGGAATAAAAAATGGATGTCCTTGTTGAAATAAAAAAAACTCAAGATGGGGCAAGGGGAGGCAGTTCACACCTGTAGTCCCAGGACTCTAGGGGAGGCTGGGGCAGGTGGATGGCCTGAACTAGGGAGTTCCAGACCAGCCTAAGCAAAAAGCAAGACCCATCTCTAGTATAAATAGAAAAACAAACCAGGGATTGTGGTGGGCACCTGTAGTCTCAGCTACTCAGCAGGCTGAGAAAAGGGGTTCACCTGAGCCCAGGAATTTAAGGTTGCTGTGAGCCAGGACACCATGGCACTCTACCCAGGGCACAGAGTGAGTCTCAAAAAAACCCAAAACAAACAAACAAACCCTCCAGACTGGTAAGATGCTGGAGACTGAATATTAATAAAAGATGTGTTGTTTATGACAGCACAAAATATCTGCTAAGAGGACAACAGAGTCTTTCCCAAGCAAAGCAAAAGAGAATCAGAGACTTCACAAACAATAGACTGTATGCTCTTCCAGAAATAGAGGATGTAGTGATTCAATTTTCCCCCTCAAGAGATGTTCAAATCTACAATGCTTCATCTGCAATTCCAAAATGAAGAAATCTCTGAAATCTGAAAAAAAAATTTTGAAATTCATTTTGGGGATAAATTTTAATATTAGCCCCCTTATGGTCTGCAGTCATCTCAATTTAGTGGAAATGTTGATATATTTTGCTTAAAAAATATAACATTATGGGGCGGCACCTGTGGCTCAAAGGAGTTGGCGCCAGCCCCATATGCCTGAGATGG